CTCTGTAATGCAATATCAAAATATTTGGCTAAAAGAAAAGGAAACAATTTCATTGTGCTGTGACCACCGATCAATACCCAAAGCAATTGTTCATCGAGTCAAAGAAAGTTACCTTGCACAAAAAAAAAAAAAAAAAATTATTGAACAGTACATTCAAATTATTATTAGAAGAGTAAATATATGTAAATATAATCATAGAACTTGATAATTTTAGTTTTTCTTACTATTTGCTTCATTTATTTTTAATAAATCATCTGTTTTGTTCTAATGTTATATTAGAAAAAAAAATTTTGTTGAGGTTACGTATTGGTGTAGGGTGTTGGTGGGCTATACGACTTATTTAGGCATGCTATATTACTTATTATATTTTTATAGAATTTTGGAAAAAATTTCATCATTTTATCTCCACTAGAAGTACTTTTGGCCGCTCTCCCCATACAAGCGCAACCACTGTGCAGCCCTGTAATAAGATCAAGCCGAAGCGCTGATCTGACGCTCGTATAGCAGAGCCGAACGAACGGCGAAACAAAAACCCGAAGCTCACAAATCAAAGAATTGGCACAGTGGCACAAAGAGCAGAGCACAGCGATTGAAAATGATCAGTGATTGTTATATATAAATATATAGTATATATAAATAAATAAATTTAAATTATGAAGCGAAATAATCATACAATTTTTGATATTTTGTATGCAAAGATAAATATAAATGACTAAACTTTAAAGAAATATTTAATATGAAAGACAAATAAGTATAATTTATAGTATGTTTACTATAAATAAATAGTGTATTTATATATTTTTTATTTTTTTTCTTATAGCTTCATTACTTCAAAATTTTTTAAAAATTTGTCATTAGTAAAATGCTACTTTAAAAGATAAAATTTTTATTAGTCCTTGATTTGATTTCTGTTTATATATGGCTATTTTAATGATCTGGTAAAACCACTTTGAATAGCTTAGGCCAAATGAAATCTCAAATGAACTGGTTCACGTTTCAAAAATACAAACCGTTCGGTTTATATTTTTGTTCCAGAGATTTACCCACTGTTCTTTGAACTTTTGCTTTGTTATTTTTATATATTTTTAATAAATAATATATAAGGAAATTCCCCAAAACAAGAGGCCCCCTAAAAACACTAATTAGCCCGGATTTTGAGTATATATATATCAGCATATTTGCCGATTATATATGCATAATCGGCCAGACATTTCGCGAAACATCAGCGTGTGTAAAAAGGTGACGTTCAATGAACTCGACCAGAAGACAACAAATAGAATCGGGGCCCTACTCTCAGGCAAGTGGCAGGTAATCGATCTAAAGAAGAGGGGTCTATATAATGATCTAGAATTCGTATAGATTTGTTTACCATATAAAAATAAAAAATAATTGCTCGAACGATAAGCGTTGCTGGTGTCAGGGCTCCAGAAGAAAAATAATAACAATTGAAGTCAGCTGTGGAGTTCAATGACAGCCGCCCCATATAAAGCTCGCTATCTCTCCGTTTCACTCTACGATGAGGCGGACTCACTCTCTTTCTCGCCCCACCCCCTCTCTTCTTTTCTGGCTTACAATTACCAACTGCATTTGGTGCAAGGAAGCAGCAAGCCCCGACAATATCTGGAGACAGCTGTAAATTTATAATACCGAAATGGGGGGCACGTCCAGTAAGCGAGTTTAATTTTAAAACAAAGAAATTATAAACTTAAAATTTCCTGTTTAACTGATACAAAATATTAAATGAGCTTTAAAAAAAAAACATGAACTGGTTCAGTGATCTTCCAGCTGCTAAGTTTTTGAACTCTTTCAACTCATATATTCATTTTTTTTCCCATTTGAAAATAATTTATATACATATATATGCTAAAATCTGGTTTACTTTTTCAGTTATTTTGAAAGACCTTCAAGTAAATTGAGTTCTTAAAAAAAAAACTTGTAATGTACGTGTTTCAGGTGTTTTGTTTTATGAGAGAGCACGAGTCAAGTGCCAGACTTGATAGATAAATATAGTTATAAAGAGCAAATGGGACAGACGCTATCTAGTTCGTATAGCTCATGGAAGTCATTTGGTTCAATCATATGTTCATGGCTCGCAGACCTTAAAGCCAAAACAATAAGCATTTTTTTCTTTTTGTTGCTTTGGTCTTTATTGTCAAAGCTAACGACGTTTATTGTGAGTTATAATTAAATTGCAAAATAAAAACATACACAATACAAAAATGTTGTCTGAGACACGTTTTTTCATAAAGTCGTTACATATTCGATGGAGTCAAAAAAAAAAAAGACAAAACAAAATTTGATGACTTTCCAAATATGCAAATGGGTAAGAGTATTTATGTAATTCCAATAGAAATCAACAGAGAGAGAAACGTAAATAGATGAAACCGCTCACCATTATAAAATTGTAAAAATATATTTTACTATTCCTAAATTATCATCAACTCAATTAGATAGCAATATCGTAATTAAACAGCATTATATTAGATTGTTTTTGTTTTAAATTTCAATTCCTATTTTCAAACTTCCCTAAATATCGTATAACAGCTACTTCATTCAGTTTTAACCAAAAACCAACGAACTGGTTATTTGTTTCTTCGAAATCGTTTATAGGTAATTCGTATTCAAAATAAAACAAAAAACAATAACACTAAAGCTGTTCAGCGAGCTTGGCAGACGACTTATTTGTCTAAATGTTTTTCAGACGTTCAAAGTTCGCTTGTGTTTCGAAATGTTTGTTTTCGA